TCACTTTCTAATAAGAAATTCCAAAAAGTTGAGGAAAGTATACAATTTCAGGAAAAAAAGTATGATCTTGAAGGAAATAAGAGAGCCAAAAGAGAGGTAATAAGTAAAAGAAAATAAATGATACAAAGTTTGTGTGTGTGTGTGTGTGTGAGTGAGTGAAAATGGTATGTTGAGGGGCAGCACGAGAATGGGATGGGCTTTCCAGTTCTCAACATTGAATAAAGTAATGCTTTTGGGAAAGCTTTTTCGCGGGAGGAAAACAGTATTTAACTGTCACTTTGTTGTGCTGATCATTTTCTCTGCGTTGTCTATTAGTTTATTTAATGCACCAACTTTTATGTATGTTCTGCCTTTTCCTTTTTTTCCTCTCACTTTCTTTCACGTAGATTTAAAAAAAGTCTTGATCTGGGACCATGAACTAGTGGGTTTTCTTGATAGCCCGCTTTAAAATCTTCCAAGTGGATTAAAGGGGAAGAATAAACACTTGACCAATTCATTTTTTTAAGGGGAAAAAACTCGATGTGTGATTGAAGAACTCCAATTTATGCACTGCACAAACTTGTAGGGTCGAATTTGCCCTCTTTGAGGCTAAAGAATGTCCCCAAGTAATGTCTTTGGATAGTGACATCTTAGTAAGACTGCTTTATGCATAAAAAGATGTTGATGCATCCCTATAATATGCATAATTACATGAAATATTCGGTATTAATATGCAAATCTCAAGACTTTCATGCTACCTTGTATCCGTAGGCCAGAATTCACTTTCCATTCCATTCAACAGAATTGTTAAACAAAAAAATGTTTCATATGATGTGTCATGTATACAAACTTGTGAAAATCAAAATCCCATTTGTCCTGCTGGTTCAGATTTGTCAAATACATCGGGACCACCCTCTAACTTCAAAATATATATCCAAAAATAAAAATAAATAATAGAAATTGAAAGCCGGTCAGCCACCACACACTACTTCTTTCACTTTCCTCTCTTTACACTTTTCCCAAATTTCTTTCCCTTTTTATGTTGGTATTAAGATAAGAAACCCAATATGCTATCTTTTGCTTTTCCTTCTGAACTTGTTCGAGTTCTTTGATTTCATTATGGACATGAGCATTCAGCACTGACCTTCCCGAAAATCAGAAGTACCTTCCAATGGGCAAAATGATACTGCCAGCACATGTTTAGTACAATCTTAAAAAAAGTATTTCATAAAATCTTTTCTGAAGAATGATAATTATCTAGTTACAAAATAAGAGCACTCGAGTATAAAATTTACCTGATGAACTTTCTTCTGAAGTGCTTTACCTTCTTGTGCATCTGTTCTATCCACTTCTTGTTTACAAAATAAGATGCACTCGAGTATAAAAATTACCTTCTTGTGCATCTGTTCTATCCACTTCTTGTATATTCCAGTTTTATTGGCCTTCACTTCTGCACCACTTTCTGTCTTTATCTGCAAGCCAGAATTACAAACGAAACAACTCCTTTAAACAATGCACATTGCAATAAACAAGGGTTTCATTTTCATTTTCTTCCCACGTTGAGCACCAACAGAAGTACCTTTCCACTGGCTGTCACGCGATCCCTGTTGGTCCGCCATAGAAATATAGCGGTTTTTTGGCGGCCTCGTTTCTATGTATAAATTGACTTGGCTACACCTGAAATAATGTTTTGTTTTGAAATTTAAATATGAACACAAAAACACCTAAAACATGTCAATAAGTTTCACAACATAGCGAGCATCATTCAACATGTTCAAAATAACCACACGTCAAAGGGAAAAAAAGTCAACCAAACAATTCAAACGAGAAACATTCAACAAGTTCAAGTCTTTAAATTCTCAAACTAAAGGCAGGAAAATAAAATGCAAATCAAATAAATAATCCTCCTCCTCTAGCACAACATAATCATTTTCCATGTTATCATCAAGTAGAGCATCTCCCTCTTCTCCATCCGAATCCACAAAATCTTCTTGAGAGACCTCATCTTGATATTCAAACTCCACTTCCTCATCTTCAACCACTTTCTCCTTCCCTTTCTCTTGTGTAGCTTGTTTTTTCTGGTTAGAGTTCTTAGTACTTGAGCACCTTGGATCGCTACGGAAACAGCCTCCTTGTATAATTACAATGATAAGGTCTGCGTACAACTGATCCCCCAGACCCCAACCTGTTGGGAATATACTGGGTATGTTGTTGTTGTTGTTGTAGAGTTCTTAGTACTTGAACCACATCCGATAACTCCTTTCTTGTAGCATTTCGCCTCGTATACATTATAGGATCTCCAACACCCGAAGCCTCATACACAGTATCCCAATTCAACGAGGTATCATGATCAAATACTAAATCCTTTCCGCCACAATCATCGTCAACTATTTCTGCAACTCACCACTCATTACAATTGTCAATATGATCGAGTGAAATTGGGTGAAGATTATCCTTAACATCAAATCTCATCTTCAATTGTTGATTGTATTTGACATACACCAAATCATGCAACCTCTTATGCTCGAGCCTATTTTTCTTATTTAAATAACTCTGGAATAAAAATAATTGCAAAAATACTAGTTAAAATAATGACGAAACCAGTAATGATGTTTAACATGCATGATTGTCAAAAATAAGTTAAAGACTACTAGTACCTGCTCAAAAAGACACGTCAACTGCGTTGACACCCCGATGCACTACATGTCAAATTAAGAATTTGCATTGTTAACTTTTGCAAATTTGCACTTTGGCAACCATACAATCATCTCCATTTATCTACAATAAAAACTTTATAAATTATGATATAAAAATTATATGGAACTAATATGAATAAATTAAAATATATAATATTTTTTCCTACCCTGAAGGTTGTGGGTATTCTTTTACAAAAACTCTTCTGAAGAGACCACCCTAGTCTTATAAAGTATCGACTCTGACATTATTTTCGATTGGGCCTCTCTATCCACCACCAACCTCTTAATGCAATCTATGAACCACTACTAATCTTCAAGTCATACCATTTTGGGGTTTCTATAAAAGAACTCTAGATTCAAAAAGTGGACGGCTGCACGATGAAGTTGACAATTCTACTTTCTATCAATAATCTCAAACACATCCTTATCCTTGTATTTGCTTTCATTATTGTTCAAAGACTTCATAATTGTTTCTTTTGTCTTATTCATTGCTTCATAAATGTAGCCCATTTTTTTTCACCATCCACAAGACGAAGCACTCGAACAAGAGGAGCCATGACTTTAAGAGAGAAAACCACATTGTTCCAATAAGAAGGCTGAAACACAACTCTTTCTCCTGGCATCCTTCGACAATTAGTTCTTGTCCACTCCTAAAAAATAAACATCCTTCTAAAATTTGTCTTCTTGATAGATTTTTTCTAAAGAGAAGAATGATGTAGGGTGACCGCATGTTTCGCCAATTCCCTTTTGTTTGTGAAATGTCTCAACAAACTCGAGGTACTCGAGTGGGGTATAGATAAACCCATAAGGAGTGGGGTATAGATAAACCCACAAGGTTGATCCCACTTTTGTTGTTTTCTTTATCAAAGGAAGTTTCCCTGATGTCTTCAAGCATCAGATCAATGCAATGAGCCGCACAAGGAGTCCAATAAAGATTTGGTCTTTTGCCCTCAAACAACTTGTCTGCGGCCACATAATTACATAACTGTTCCTATTGTCTGTTATAACTTGGACAACATTCTCTCGAATTTCCTCCACAAGAGAATCGAGAAGTTCAAATAATTTTTATCCCGTCTTGACAAAGTCGGATGCATTGACAGACTTCACAAACCTAGTACCGGCCTTTGAAATCACCAAAAAATTAATGTTGTTGAGGCTACACCTGAAATAATGTTTTGTTTCATAATGTTGAGAAGGTGTAGCCAAGTCAATTTCAGGCGTAGCCTGAACAACATTAATTTCTTTGTGAATTCACAAGCCGGTACTATGTTTGTGAAGTTTGTCGATGCTTTTGACCTTGTCAAGACAGGACACAAATTATTTGAATTTCTTGATTCTCTAAGGGAGGAGATTGGAGAGGAGAATATTTTCCAAGTTATCACGGACAATGGGAACAATTATGTGGCCGCAGGCGAGTTTTTAAGGGGAAAAAGACCACATCTTTATTGGACTCCTTGTGCAACTTATTGCATTGATCTCATGCTTGAAGACATCAAGAAGCTTCCTTTGATAAGGAAAACCATCAAAAGTGGGATGAACCTTGTGGGGTTTATCAATGCCCACTAGAGTACCTTGAGTTTGTTAAGACATTTCACAAACAAAAGGGAATTGGTGAAACATGCGATCACCCGATTTCCTATCTTTGGAAAGAATCCATCAAGAGAAAGCAAATCTTAGAAAGATGTTTACTTCTAAGGAGTGAAACACGAACAAATTGTAGAAGGATGCCAAAAGGAAGGAAAGTGATGAGAGTTGTGCTCCAGCTTTTAACAATAACAATGTGGTTTTCACTCTTAAAGTCATGACTTCTTTTGTTTGAGTGCTTCGCCTTGTGGATGGTGAAAAAGAATGGACTACAATTATAAAGCAATGGATAAGGCAAAAGAAACAATTATGAAGTCATTCAACAACAATGAAAGCAAATACAAGGATGTGTTTGAAATTATTGATAAAAGGTAGAATTGTCAACTTCATCGTCCATTCCATGCAGTTGACCACTTTTTGAATCAAGATAACTTTTATAGAAATCCTAAAATGGAGTATGACTTGGAGATTAGCAGTGGATTCATGTATTGCATTAAGAGGTTGGTGGTGGATAGGGAGGCCCAGTCGAAAATAATGACAAAATCGATACTTTATAATACTGGGTGGGTCTCTTCGGAAGTGATTTAGCAAAAGAATACCGACAACCTTGCTCCAGGTGAGGAAAAAGTATTATATATTTTAATTTATTAATGATAGTTCCATATAATTTTTAAATCATAATTTATAAACTATAGTTCCATATAATTTTTAAATCATAATTTATAAACTTTTATTGTAGAGAAATGGTGGCGATTGTATGGTTTTCAAAGTCCAAATTTGCAAAAGTTAGGAAAGAAAATCTTAGCTAGGCATGTAGTGCAATGAGCTGTGAACGCAATTGGAGTGTCTTTGAGCAGATACTATGATGGGTCTACTTCTGGATCTGGAGTAAACCGGAGGTTATGAGCTCAGATCTGCTTGAACCGTCTTTGAACCGTCGCTAGACCGCAAGAATGCCTGCAAAAACTCAACGCCGGAGGTGTTTCCGGCGTAGAGCCTCCGACGCTCAAGTCAGTATGAGGGTGATGAAGAGAGGCTGCGCAGCAGCTATAGGGGAGAGTGGAATGAATGAGAGTTAGGGTTTAGGGTTACCTCATCTCCTTTATATAGGAGTGAATACTTACGCGAAATGCCCAAAGTACCCCTATCGGTGGACTTAGAAGGTCCAAAATGCCCTGGTCGATTCGTCTCCCCTTAGTGCTGAGTCACCGCAAGATTCCTTCTTACCTGTCATGATATGTAGGATTTCGAGTATATTGCAAGTATGATGAGTCGTCATCCTATCTTTGTTACTCGAGGTATTCGAGGTCGACTTCGAGATCACGAAAGTCGACTCGTGGGTACGTGCGGGTTCGGAAGTTACGCTCGACTGGTTCTGTGAGGCGAAATCGTCCTCAGAGAGTCGTCTTACTTCAGTCGACTCCTGGGAGCCCGAGAGCTGTACTCTCGCTGTTCCTCTTCTTAGTGATGTCGATTAGTGGAAGTCGATAGGTTAGGGTCGACTTGATGGGGTCGACTAGATCCATCTCTGCTTCTTCTTGATTGCTCTTAATAGAATCGTCCTTAGGGAAGTCGATTGGGGCATGCCGACTGATTTATGTCGACATGAGGGTAATTCGAGCGGTTCGTTGGTTGAGTAATATGCTTCTAGACCGGGTTATCCTTATGGGGCCATATCATCTAGTCCCCCCCCGAAAATTACTCTAAGCAGTCGACTGCTTAAGAGTAAATTTGATGGGATGTAGCTTCGCTGTCTTCCTGTGGTACCTGCTCGTCTTCGTCTTCTTTGATGATTCGTCTCGTCAATCCATCGAGGCGCACCCCAACCTCATGATTACTTTTTCGGATAAGTCTGACACTCTGACAGACCCTTTTGAAATTTCAAATTTCAAATTTCAGAAAACCCTAATTGACGCGCGTCACCTCCATCGCCGACTCCTCGAATTCTGCGCTTCATCTGGGTCGTTGATTCAGATATTGATCTAACGATCCGTCTCTATTCTACTCGAGTATAAATACATTGCACGTCTGCCTTGGATGGCTTTTCACGCTTCCAATTTTTCGAGCTCTAAACTGCTTTCAATTTTCCGGTGCTTTCTGTGCTACCTGCTCTCCGGCGCTTCTTTCTCCGACAACTTCAAGGTTATTCACAGTTCACGACAACTGCACCATCATGTGTAAGTTCTTCATCTCCTTTACTTTTCGCGTTTTTGTTGGTTTTTCCTTCTTCAATTTTTTCTGGGTTTTGGGGAATTTCAGAAGTTCGTACATGTTCTTCATGAATTTCTTACGGATTTTGCGTTCGATCTTTTCACGCGCATAC